TACCAGGGTTATATCCTCTTGTTGGATCAATCCCTTTAGTATTATGTAGTGACCTTTGTTGTCTCTTGTGATGGCCTTCATTTTAAAGTCTATTTTGTCAGATATGAGTATTGCTACTCCAGCTTTTTTTTTCTTTTCCATTTGCATAGAAAATTTTTTTCCATCCCTTCACTCTCATCCTGTGTGTGTCTTTTGTTTTGAGGTGGTTCTCTTGTAGACAGCATATAGTTGGGTCATATTTTTGTATCCATTCTGCTACCCTACATCTTTTGATTGGAGCATTTAGTGCATTTACATTTAGGGTTATTATTGAGAGGTACTTATTTATTGCCATTATATTTCTGTATGGCTAGGTTTCTCTCTCTGTTTCTTCCTCTCATTACAGCAATCCCTTTAGCATGTCTTGTAATGCTGGCTTGGTGGTGATGTACTCCTTTAGCCTTTTTTTGTCTGGGAAGCTCTTCATTTGACTGTCTATTTTGAATGATAGCCTTGCTGGATATAGTAATCTTGGTCTCATATCCTTGTTTTCCATAACCTTGAGCACTTCATGCCATTCCCTTCTGGTCTATAGAGTTTCTGATGAGAAATCAGGTGTTAGCCTTATGAGAACACCTTTGGTAGGTAAAAGTTTTCTTTTCTCCTGCTGCCTTTAAGATTCTCTCTTTGTCTTTTATTTTGTCATTTTAATTATGATGTATCTGGGCATGGGCCTGTTTGGGTTCTTCTTGTTTGGGGTTCTCTGTGCCTCCTGTACTTGTGTGACTTTTTCCTTTACCAGGTTAGGGAAATTTTCTGCCATTATTTCTTCAAACACCTTCTCTATGCCTCTCTTCCTTTCTGCCTCTTCTGTCACACCTGCTATTCTAATATTGTTTACGTTTCACATTGTCCCACAGCTCCCTTAAGCTGTCCTCCTCTATTTTAATTGTTTTTTTCTTTTTGGTTTTCTGATTGAGTGATATTTTCAACTCTGTCTTCTAATTCACTGATTCAATCCTCAGCTTCCCCTAATCTGCTGTGTATTCCTTCCAATGTGTTCTTTATTTGTGTTATGTCATTCTTTATCTCAGACTGTTCTTTTTTCATAGTTACTATATCTTTTTTTCATGCTGTTGAGCATCTTTACCATCATTACTCTGAACTCTGTTTCAGATAAATTTCTTATCTCTGTTTCATTTATCTCTTCTTCTGGAGAATTCTCTATTTCTTTCATTTGGGGTTTTTTTCTTTGTCTCTTCATTTGGCTTTCTGTTTGGGTTTGTGACTATGCATTAGGTAGATCCTTTATACATCTCAACCTCTAATTCAGGACAGTGTTAGAGGCTATTTCTAACTAATTAGATCAGGCAAAGACTCAAAGCCTCCAGAAACCACCTCTGCCTACAGACTGATAAGATTCCGGCTTGAATTACCCCAAGGCAATCGTCCTCTGGTGTGGCGAGAGTTTTTTTCGACAGGGTGGGGCAGTTGCTTCTGCCTGGAGGCTAATTATTATTTTTAATCTCTTAAATGGCCTCACGGCAAGGTATTTTCCAATAGGATGTGCCAACTGTCTTTTCCCCAGGCAAGGCAAATGTCTAAGGGAAAGATTCACTGTCTGAGGGAATGACTCAGCCCAGGAAACTTGGGGTGTCTGGCTTCTGAGCTCTATCCCCCAAGTCCCCAGTCCTGGCTTCTGCTCTCACAGCTCTAGTCCACTTCACTCTTCCTCTGCTGAAGCACAAGGTGGGTGGAGCAAAGGAGAACAGTAGTTCACTGCTGGTGGGAATGCAGATTGGTGCAGCCACTATGGGAAACCATATGGAGTTTCCTCAAAAAATGAAAAATGGAACTTCTGTTTGACCCAGCAATCCCACTTCTGGGAATATATCCTAAAAATCCCAAAACACCTATCAGAATATATGCACCTCTATGTTCATAGCAGTTATTTATAATAGCTAAGATTTGAAAACAGTCCAAGTGCCCATCAGTAGATGAATGGATAAAAAAAGCTATGGGACATTTACATTATGGAATACTATGCAGCTTTAAAAAAGAGGGATCTCTTACCCCTTGGGATAGCATCAATGGACCTTGAGAATATTAGGCTCAGTGAAATAAGCCAATCTGAGAAAGACAAAAATCACATGGTATCACTTATTTGTGGAATTTAATGAACAAAATGAATTGACTAATAAAATAAGACCTGAAGCATGGAAGTGATTGACATACTTTGATGTGGGGGTGGGGGAACGAGAAGAAATAAACCAAAGAATGTATATACTTACTAGAGGCCCGGTGCACAAAATTCATGCATGGTCCGAGGGCGGTTCCTTCTTAGCCAGGCCTGCACCCTCTCCAATCTGGGACCCCTTGGGGGATGTCCGAGGCCCCACAGGGATTGGGCCTAAACCGGCAGTCGGACATCCCTCTTGCAATCCAGGACCACTGGCTTCTAACCACTTGCCTGCCTGCCTGCCTGATTGCCCATAACCCCTCTGCCTGATGGCCTGATTGCCCCTACCTTGCCCCCCTGC